TTGAAGTGTATTAAGTAGTGTTTTTCCATTAGTGTGTTGAGTTCGTGAAGAATTTGCGATTAAACTCAATAAAAAAACATTTAAAATCTTATATAAATTAATGTGAGATTTATTATTGGTCGTATAAACATTATTTGCGACCAAAATTCGATCTTTTTATGTGTTCATTACAAGTGGTACTAGAGACAGCATATCTGGTACTAACACGCCGAATAGTGGTACTACTTTTTGTAAATGTTGACCCAATTGAAATATGCAATTTTTCTTCACAAAAGTAGGTACTAATCGATCAAAAGCAGGTATCACGTAGAAGAAAATGCGGTACTAATTTGGCTAAAACAAGTACTATTTTCAGAATCGTGATTTCTCTAATCATTCATGTCTACCATGACAGGTGGATCGTTCACACGTGATTTGGATGAACAAAAGTAGAATGAAAACATATAAATAGAAACAATAATAGTCATGTATGATGATTCTATGAGATGAAGTGTGTCATTCAATGAAATGAAGTCTATTAGTGTTTTTTCATTAGTGTATTGAGTTCATGACCAATATGCGATTAAACTCAATCAAAAGACATTTAAAATCTTATATAAACTAATGTGAGAGTTATTATGGGTCGTATAAACATCATTTGCGACCAAAATTCGGTCTTCTTATGTGTTCATTACAAGTGGTACTAGAGACACGATATCTGGTACTAACACACTAAAAAGTGGTACTGCCTTGCACTATGATTGGTACTACTTTTTGTAAATATTGACCACAATTGAAATAATCAATTTTTCTTCACAAATGTAGGTACTAATCGATTAAAAGTAGATACCACGTAGAAGAAAATGCGGTACTATTTTGGCCAAAACAATTACTATTTTCAGAATCGTGATTTCTTTAATCCTTCATGTCTACCATGACACGTGGATCGTTCACACGTGATTTGGATGCAAAAAAGTAGAAGTGAAAACATATAAGTAGAAACAATAGTAGTCATGTATGATGATTCTATGAGATGAAGTATGTCATTCAATGAAATGAAGTCTAGTAGTACTATTTTCTCATTAGTGTATTGGGTTCATGACCAATATGCGATTAAACTCAATCAAAAGAAATTTAAAATCTTATATAAACTAATGTGAGAGTGATTGTGGGTCGTATAAGTATCATTTGTGACCGAAATTTGGTCTTCTTATGTGTTCATTACAAGTGGTATTAGAGACACGATATCTGGTACTAACACAACAAAAAGTGGTAGTGTCTTGCACTATGACTGGTACTACTTTTTGTAAATGTTGACCACAATTGAAATAATCAATTTTTCTGTACAAATGTAGGTACTAATTAATCAAAATCAGGTATCACGTAGAAGAAAATGCGGTACTATTTTGGCTAAAATAGTTACTATTTTCAGAATCGTGATTTCTCTAATCCTTCATGTCTACCATGACAAGTGGATCGTTCACACGTGATTTGGATGAAAAAAGTAGAAGTGGAAACATATAATTAGAAACAATAGTAGTCATGTATGATGATTCTATGAGATGAAGTATGTCATTCAATGAAATGAAGTCTAGTAGTACTGTTTTCTCATTAGTGTATTGAGTTCATGACCAATATGCGATTAAACTCAATCAAAAGACATTTAAAATCTTATATAAACTAATGTGAGAGTAATTGTGGGTCGTATAAACATCATTTGTGACCAAAATTTGGTCTTCTTATGTGTTCATTACAAGTGGTACTAGAGACACGATATCAGGTTCTAACACAACAAAAAGTGGTACTGTCTTGCACTATGATTGGTACTACTTTTTGTAAATGTTGACCACAAGTGTAATAATCAATTTTTCTTCACAAAAGTAGGTATTAATCGATCAAAAGCAGGTACCACGTAGAAGAAAATGCGGTACAATTTTTTCAAAATCGTGATTTCTCTAATCCTTCATGTCTACCATGACACGTGGATTGTTCACACGTGTTTTGGATGAAAAAAAGTAGAAGTGACAATATATAAGTGAAAACAATAGTAGTCATGTATGATGATTCTATGAGATGAAGTGTGTCATTCAATGAAATAAAGTCTAGTAGTAGTGTTTTATCATTAGTGTATCGAGTTCATGACCAATTTGCGATTAAACTCAATCAAAAACATTTAAAATCTTATATAAACTAATGTGAGAGTGATTATGGGCCGTATAAACATCATTTGCGATCGAAATTGGGTCTTTTTATGTGTTCATTACAAGTGGAACTAGAGACACGATATCTAGTACTAACACGTCATAAAGTGGTACTGCTACTCTAGGTTTGGTACTTCTTTTTGTAAATGTTGACCAAAATTGAAATAATTCATTTTGGTTGACTAAAAGTAGGTACTAAATGATCAAAAACAGGTACTGCGTAGAAGAAGAAGCAGTACTATTGTTCCCAAAACTGGTACCATTTTAATGAGATAAAGTGTTAATAGTGTTTTTCCTTCGTGTTTCGAGTTTGCGACCAATTTGTAATTAAATTTAATTAAAAACATTATAAATCTCATATAAACTAGTGTGAGAGTGAATATTTATCATGTAAACATTATTTTAGACCGAAATTCGGTGTTTTTATTTGTTCATTACAACTGATACTGATTAGCTAATATACGCAGACTGCCCTGTCTCAGACCCGTTGTTATGCAAAACTCTATTGGGTCGAAATTCAAAACCAAGTTATATCCAACTATAAACACATTCAAATCTACCATGTACGTGCTAACAAGAGCCTCAACGCTACTACGTAAAACTGCTAAATCGGGCATATTCATAAAAAAATAAAAAGGACTCTTTTCAAAAGCCTCTTTGTGCTTGTCCGAGAGCACAACAACCATTTTATCCATCACATCTATGAAGTATGAGGGGGCACACCTACATCTTAGTTCGGTACCCTATCAAAAACAAATAAATAAAGTCAATTTTCAAACATAAGAAACAAATATAAACAATGATGCAATTCAACAATAACAACACCTCAACCCATTTTAACAATAATACCACCTCATTCAAAATGATATAAAACACCAAACAACACCACAGTCCTAATTTCTATTCAAATTCATATAAAACACCAAACAACACCAAAGCCCTAATTGCTACTCAAATTGATATAAAACACCAAACAACACCTCAGCCATAATTCGTATTCAAATTGTTATAACACACCCACTCCATTTCCTCAACTATTTCAACAATGAAGAACCAAACTGAAGCACCAATACCAAACAAACAATTGCCCAATCAAAATCAACATCAAATAGAGTTCGATTTCAATTTATTTGGAAGAAAATTCAATTACAAATTATTTATCATGCAATGTGAATTGTGAGCTAGTTCAAGTGGAAAAGAAAAATGAATGAACTAGATATTCCCATTATGCTTCACAAAGCATATATATGTTGGAACTCTTAAGAATTTCAAAATTAATTTACAGCAATCAATATTTTTCATAAGCAAAATGAATATCCAGTTCGTTTTGCTTTTCCACTATAACTTGTTTACATTTTTTTTCCAAACATCAAATGAATCAATAAAGCTCGGAATTACAGAGTTCGGCAAGTCAACGGGTTTAAACAACAACAACAACAACAACAACAACAAACAGAGAAGTCATCTAGCAGTGATGCTTCGCTAGATGACCAACTAGCGGGCAGTACCTAGAAATCAAATAAGGAACAAAAAAAGAAAACTAGCACAAACACATAAATACACAAGGAAAGACCAACTGACAATAAGTCTACTAAAGTACTAACACAACCACAGACATAACAGAAAAATAGAAAAGCACCTACACAATGAAACAAAAAAGCAAAAGAGAAACAAAAGGGCAATATTAAACTGAGACAAACTTCCAGCAGACAACCTGAGTCCATAAACTATGATCTGTAATTGAACTTTCTTCCGAATCGTTATTTTTGAATTGAAATTGAATTTTACAAAAATAAAATCCAAAAACAATTTCTATGTTGGGACTTTTAATAATTTCAAAATTGATTTACAATAACAATAGCAGAAACAATTGATAAAAAAAAATAATACCAAAATCAATAAAACCCTAGACATGCAAATAGCCTAATTTATCAATAAAATTCGCAATTTGTGAAATAAAACTCAAAATTTGAAATGCATTAGTATCAACCAAATACCTAATTTTAAAAAATCTTGAATTCAATAAAAAAATCAAAATTTGAAAAAAAATCCCAAATTCCGAATTGAAGAAAAAATTCAAAATTGTTAGAAAAAAATACCCAAAATCTTACCTTGCTTACTGTAGAAGCCGATTTGTCGGATGTGGAACGGCGAGTAGGACGGTTTTCTGAGCCCGCCATGGAATTTTCCCAAAGAATTGGCCGGCGATTTTCATGGAGAGAGAGGGAGAGAGACGATCGATGAACATAATTTTCAGAGAGAGAGACGAACGGAGAGAGATGGAACCTTTTCAGAGAGATGCTTGGCGACGAAAATTTGAGAGAGAGAACGACGGTCGTCGATGAATTTGAGAGAGACAAAAAGGGCGAGAGAGACGAAGAGAGAGAGAAAAGCTTCATTTCAATTTTTTATGAAAATAAATTAAAATAAAAGAATAATAATAAGAGTAGTATATATATGGGAGTAATTTGGAAAAAGAAATTAACTTTAGGGAGTGATAAGGAAATTTAAAAGTGATAAGGACTGATAAAGGAAGTTGAAATGTGGATTGGAGATTTATATGGAATTATCCGTATATATATATAGACAAGTTTTCTGTTCAAAATTCGAAAGTTTGAACAATGAATTGTTTGTTTAAGACAACTTGTCCGGTGAAAAAGACGGAAAACAAAAAAAGACAAAAATAATGCACAAGTTGCTCCTTAAACAAATCAATTTAGCTTCCCTTTTTCATAACCCATCAAATCAATGTTTTCTTTTTCTTTTCGATCCTCCTCCTCTCTACCAAAAAAAAAAAACACTATGAACACTAAAAGAACTATGAGAACAATATGGATAAACGATAAGTCTGAGAAGGGAGAGGTGGTGGGACAGGAGAAGTACTTGGAGCTTCTCAAAGGGATGCTTCTGAGCCGAGACCCCAAACGGCGGGTCATCGTGGTCGTGGGGATGGCCGGCATAGGCAAGACGACGCTCGCTAAATGCATCTGCCGCGACCCGGACATCGTGGCCCGCTTCACGATTTTCGATAGATGGGGCCGTGAGCACGGGCTAGACGGCTGGGCAACCGTCAAGACCTACCGGGGGGACATCTTCCAGTGCTTGCTGCCTTTCCACAGGCCCTTCCTAAATACAGGAGACCAGTCGTACAATGAGGTCATGAGGGGCCACCTGCGTAGCCACCTGTCGGGCACCAGGTACCTTATCGTGCTGGACGACATGGGTGACCTCACGGACTGGAACCAGCTAAAAGGCGCGCTGCCGGACGAAGGCAACGGGAGCCGAATCCTCGTGACGACACAGAACGCCGATCTAGTGGGCGCTCTGCGTGCTTCGCCCCATCACGTGCTTAGGGATCCGTTCCTGGACGAGGACGCCAGCTGGCAGCTGCTCCGCCGGGCGGTGTTCGGTGCCAGCTGCCACGAACACGACTGCCCTTACGAGCTCGAAAGGGCGGGGAGGATGATCGCGAGCGGCTGTGAGGGGCTTCCGCTTGCGATCCTCCACGTCGGGAAGCTCCTGCGTGGGGAGGAAAGGACAGCCGAGAGATGGCGGGCACTTGAAGAGAGCGACAGCCTGTTCGACAACAAGGGCCTCTCGGCTGCTCTGAGTCCGAGTTACCGGAGTCTGCCTACACATCTCAAGCATTGCTTTTTGTATATGGGACTAATCCCGAAAGGTACAGGGATTCGCACGGCTAAACTCTTCCAAGCCTGGATTGCTGAGGGATTCGTTGAAAAGAGGAGGTCGAGTTCCCGCAGCTTGGAGGCAACAGCAGACGGCTATCTGAACGAGCTTGTTGCCAAGAGCCTCGTTTTGGTTCGGGACAGGAGATCGCTTGGTGGGACCAAGACCTGCCGGGTTCATGTTGTCTATCGGTGCTTTTGCGTTGCTGTGGCCCATGACCACGAGTTTTGCCACGTGATAAGCAAGTTGCACGCCAATAGCTTCCCTCGGGGCATTCGCCGCCAGCCGAGACTCTGCTTCCATAACAACATTATACTCGGCTTCAAGCAAGTTCGCGTGATGTTGGTATCGGTGGTTTCGTCCAAACGCTCTGTTCTCTGCTACGGTCCACGTCATCAGTACCCGGTAGAGGCTGACTTCCGGCCTTTTAAGCTGCTTCGCGTGCTGGATTCGCTTGCTCTTCGTTTTTACGAGTTCCCGGACCAAGTGCTCTGTCTCGTCCGGCTGAGGTACCTTGCCATCACGTACGACGGCGAGATTCCAAAGTCGATTTCCAAACTACGTAACCTCCAAGTCTTCATTGTCCGACGGCATCGGGTTGTCAAATCAGCGTATGCTCCGGTTAGCTACCTGCCGATGGAAATTTGGTACCTGGACAAGCTGAGGCACCTCCAATGCACGGGATATGACCTTCTGGATCCTTCTTCCATTGGGCTAGATGGTTCGTTTCTCCTCGAAAACCTTGTCACACTTTCGGGCGTGAGTGCCCACAGTTGCACACGAGGAGTGCTTGCTAGGATGCCTAAGCTGGCAAAAGTTGGAATAAGAATCGAGCCGGCACCCAGCACATCTGAGATCTTCAATCCTTTCGGAGATTTTGAACAACTTTATGATGACTTTGAGTCGTTCAAATGTGTTTTCGTGAGACCTGGTCTTGCCTCTCATGTCATTCCCTTGGTAACTCCATCTTTCCCTATCAACATTACCAAAATAACTTTGAGTGGATGTGGGTTTCCGTGGGAGTATATGAGCGTGATTGCTCGACTGCCTAATCTTCAAGTGCTCAAACTGCGGTGCTATGCTTTCTCTGGCCCTGTGTGTGTCTTAAACGAGTCGGGGTTCTCAAGGCTACGATTTTTGCTGCTGGAAGACATGGATATCAAGTGCTTGGTAGCCGATCGGTATGGATGCCTCCAGGCACTCGAGTGCCTTATTATTAGGCACTGCTACAAACTGGAGGACATCAATTTGGATGAAAGAGTGCCGCATGAAATGTTAGAGGTGCAGGGTTGCAGCCCAACAACCGAGGCTTGGGCTCGAAAAGTATTAGGAACCAGAAGTGATCAATGTCGAGTTCACATCCACTCCTCAAGAAATGATGATAGCAAGCATAAATCGTGACGTCTGGTTTTTCACATGGTATCTGAGGGTATGAGTTATGACAATATATTTGTGTTACCATTTTCAATTTGCCTCCTGCTTTTCCGGTTTCCCGATTTTTACTCTAGTGATCCCCATCCCAATCAGCTCATCCATGACTTGTTTAAGCTTATCTTGCCTAAGGGACCTCGCGAGCTGTGCCAGATCGACTGGGTCAACGGAACCTCGGCTGTGGCCAAGCATATTTTTGGTGTCGGCAGCCATTGACAGACGAGTCAAACAAGCGTCAATTGTGTCCTCAATCTCGTACACAACTCCCTTGATCTGCATTTCCACTTCCCTGATGAGCTGAGTCTCTTTATCCGGCCTCGAGCCGTCATGCTTAACCAAATTCTTGATTGACAGGAGTTCCCTCTTCAGGCCCTGGAGTTGGCGTTCCGCGCCGCCGGAAATTAGATCGGAATGTGACGTCAGCAGGCGTGACAAGTTTTCCAGCAGGAAATTCACCGCACCATAAGCCATTCTCAATCAATAGTCTTAGAACCCCAAAAGTTGATTAGTTTAAGTGTCAAGTTGCATGTAAATAAATAAATTAATACAGGTTTGAATAATTTTGCTCCTAGGCACATGCACCCAAAGGTATGGTCATAAACTTGTGAATAAGAAAATGTCCCCACCTTGTACTCATCAAAAAAAAATAATAAATAAATAAATAAAAAAGCAGCCAATAAAATAAAATAGTGTACAAGTGGTAATTTATTAACAGTATCAAGTTGCATATAAATAAAATTTATACTGATCACTATCTGACTAATCCAATTAAAAAAAAACTCCATCTATTCAAAAGAATCACAAAGCTAAACAGTTAATCTTTGCTCTCATTCATATTCATAATAATTGTTCTAATTATCGATAGAGATGGCGTATGGTCCGGTGATTTTCCTGGAGGAAAACGTGTCGCGGCTGCTGACGTCACATGCCGATCTTTTCTCAGGCGCCTCTGACACGGAAGAGGAGCTCCGGCTGCTAACTAACGATCTCGTCTCTTTCAAGACTTTGCTGGAGCCCGAGTCAACAAGGTCGAATAAAGACACACGACTCAGGGAAGTTGAAAGGCAAATCAAGAAAGTTGTGTATGCCATTGAGGACACGATCGACGCTTGTGTGACTCGTCTGGCCGCGGCAGCTGCGGACTGTAAATATATCTCCGGTCGCAGACGAGATCTCGTCGACCTGGCGCCTCCTGACCTGGCACAGCTCGTCAGGCCCCTTAGGAAAGATGAGTTGAAACCTGCCATGGACAGGCTCATTGGGACCCACATTGCTAAGGTACGAATAGGCCACGGCAAATCTGATGGGTCGAGACAAGCAAAGCAGCAGCCAAGGCTGAAAAAGGTACAGTTTCTATATATCAACCTACTACCAGTTGCCATAAATGTGAATCTTTTTACATGACACAATTTATAAATAAATAAATAATGAAATAGTTGAAAATACAATACAAGAAATAATCTGTAGCTACCAAATGAATAATATTATGTAGCTTGAATATGATGAGCACAATGAAGAGCAAATTAGGCCTAAGTAGAGAATGTACTGTAACTTGTGTGCACAGACAGCCTCAATCATGGGAGGCAGCATCATAGGTCTGGAAGATGAGGAAAGAAAATTAATCGAAACTCTGATCGCGGGACGATATTCTCCTGATGAGATGGGCATAACCACCCTCATCGGCATGCCTGGCCTTGGGAAAACGACCCTGGCTTGGAAGGCTTACCACAACGAGGAAATCCAACGGGAGTTCCCCACCCGAATATGGGCCACTGTCTCCCGAGAGTTCAACCCAAGAAACATCTTTCTCGTCATCCTCCACGAATTCACGAGCAAGGACATGTCCAACGAGACAACCTCTGACCTGGCAAAAGCTATTCGTGCGTCTCTACAAGAGAGGAGGTTCCTTTTGGTCCTGGACGATGTGTGGACGGCTAAGGCAATGTCTACAATCACGTCTGCCTTACCCACGAACAACGGGAAGGGTCGAGTCCTTGTCACCACCCGTCATCACGGAGTCACTGAACAGGTGATATATTCCGAAGCTTCCAACAAGGGATATTATTCTATTGTACCACCCCAACGGCTTCGTTTCTTGACGAATGACGAAGGTTGGCGACTCCTTCAGTTCAAAGTATTCGGAAAGGATGGGCAGTGTCCTCCCCAGCTGCAAGGGCTAGGGAGGCATATAAGCGAACGATGCCAAGGAATACCGATGCTGTTGTTGATGATAGCAGGTATTCTTATGGACTACGTCTCGAAAGCAAAAACAAGTGTTGCCATCGTGAAGTCGTGGATAGAGCTATCTCAAAGCCTGGACAAGTACACACGTGGTGGATCCGATGTTTTCAGGAGTGTTTTGGAATTGAGTTATGATAGAATGCGTGACGAGTTGAGGGACTGCTTTCTTTATTTGGGGGTGTTCCCGGAAGATTATGAGATCCCGGCTTGGACATTGGCCCGGCTGTGGATTTCTGAGGGGTTCATTCAACCAAGGCAGGGACAGAGCTTGGAGGAGAGAGCATGCGAGAACCTAATAGATCTCATCGACCGCAACTTGGTCATCGTTGATAAACTTAAAAGCAACGGTGATATCAAGACTTGCCGGATTCATGACACAGTGCACGACTTCTGTAAAGCGGAGTCCGAGGGGAAAGAGCATCTCTTCCAAGTATTGACAAAAAATGCAGATGGAACTTTCATCAATCCTTCTCAAAACAATCAGCACCGCCGCATTTGCATTCATTCCAATGTCCTGGAATTCTTCTCTCCAGAGCCGTATGCCCCAGGCACTCGTTCTTTCCTTTCTTTCTCTGGCGAAGAAATCGCCTTGCCGACCGAGGCCATACCGAAAATCCCAGGCGCCTTCGAGTTGGTGAGGGTTTTACATGTCAAGCCCCTCGTGTTCAGAATATTCCCACTCGGGCTGACTCAGCTCGTCCTTCTCAAGTACGTGGTCCTGTCTAGCGACTTCAAAGTCCTTCCAGAAGCCGTTTCCAGGCTAAGAAACCTGCTGACTCTCGTAATCCATACATCGTCCCGTACTTTGGCAATCAAAGCCGATATTTGGAGGTCGATGGTCCAGCTGAGAGACTTGAAGACAAACGCGTCAATTATTCTGCACAAAAAACCAGCAGCTGGCAAAAACCAAGGAGGGCAGCATCTTCAGACGCTGGCCAACATATCACCGGGCGATTGCACCCTCGACTTGTTCGAGCGAGCACATCACCTCAAGAAATTAGGCATTCGGGGAATACTTGCCACTATGAATTTCGACAACTTGGGAGTACTAAATGAGCTTGAGAATTTGAAGCTGCTGAATGATGACATCCATGATATCATGACCCCACTCAGTCTTCCTCTTCCAGACAAGTTCCCCCCAAAACTTAGGAGCTTGACGCTATCTGCCACTTTTCTCGGATGGGAGCAGATGTCTGTCCTAGGAATGCTGGAGAATCTTGAGGTACTCAAGCTGAAAGACAACGCATTCGTGGGTCGGTGCTGGGAGATGGGCACGGGTGGTTTTCGTAGCCTTCAAGTGCTGCACATTGGGTACACTAACATAGTTTCTTGGGAAGCTTCGGATCACGACTTTCCTAAGCTTAAATGCCTAATGCTTAGAAATTGTGAGGAACTTGAATCGCTGCCCCAAGTGCTTGCAGATGTACCGTGCCTTGAGACAATGGTCTTGCGTCGGCTCAGTAGGACGGCTGTGGCTTCAGCTAGAAAAATCCAGCAGCAAATATTGCAAAACAGAGGGGACTGTGGAGGAGAAGGTAGGGGAATTAAGCTTTCCATATTTCCTCATTATCAATGAAGTTTGCTAGTAGTCGACCAAGCAACCTGTTAAACAATGATTTTTTTTATTTCTTGCATATTGCAAAAATTATTTCCATTTATCTATATCTATCTATATCTATATCTATATCAATATCAATCTATCTAGTATTATTCCACTTCAATTCCAACTTTAATTTTTAAAATAAATAATTGATCCGACCAAACTATATGAAAAAATAGTATTAGTTTTTATATATTTTTATGTATGACGATTGCACATTATGGTTATACGAATTGCACTTTAATGAATGTCCGTTGCACATTATCGAACGAAATGGACAGAACTAAAATTTTTTGTTCGGAATTTTATATTTTGGTTTTTTATTTACCTTTAAAAACTCGATTATTTCTGCTCGATGTAGTCTTTTTTATTCTAAATAACCAAACGGCCTAATTATATAAAAATTATTGTTATTATTATTATTTATCTTATGTAAAAATACCATACATGTCCAGCAAAACCAGGAAAAAAAAAAAAGAAAACATAAAGAAATACAAAATCAAGTAAAATGTTAAAATACAAATCATATTTTGCTTAATTACAAAATTGACCCATGAACTAAATTGTAATATAACAAAACTTATAAAATTGCAAAAAATTCCCTAAATTTTCAACAATGTGCCCCCATCTCTATCCCCCCGCCTGCAGCATATTCGACCAAACTTACGGTGATGTTCGTCGCCGATGGGCCTTCGACGTTCGGCACCTACACTCGCCGGCAATCTATCTGGCGAACGACAAAAGAATGGATGAGATACGCGTCCCCATAGCGGATAACGGCGGAGACATTGCCGGAGGCGGCATGAGTGGGGGACTGGCGCTAGTGGGCTGGAAGCATCGGAGCGTGCGTCAAAACAGAAACTTCGACTAACCGGCGTGCAGCTCCAGCGGACGACCGCCGTCTTGGTGACCCAACATCCTTGCGGCGGATGGCAGAAGCAATGGCTATGGGTTCTCCGGCGGATGCGCCGACCAGGGATGTTGCGGAAGGAGGATCATGGCGGCGGGCTGGTATCGTGTGTGTGTGTCCGACAGAGCAAGGCTGTGGAGAGACCGGCGGACGGCGGCAGTCAGTGAGTGTTTTTGTAAAAAATATGAACTATCTAAATCACCCTTATTTTGAATACAACTGTCAACAGCTGAATGCAAGCAGCCAACAGCTGAATGAGGCCTTTGTAATGAGGGTGATTTAGATAGTTCATATTTTTAACAAGTAGCCAACAGCGGAATGCAAGCAGCCAACAGTTGAATGCAAGCAGCCAACAGCGGAATAGATTGGGAGGACATGTTCGAAGTCCGCCTAGAACCGACCCAACGGGTAATACTCTAGAAACACAAAAATATCACGACGGCACTAAAAACTTCCAAGGGGATAGTAAAAAAACAAACAGAAACGACCCCAACAGGGTAATGCCCGAGTGTACGATTCCAACATGATAATAAAGTCAAACTCGGGCTAACCGAGGCCGACGGCCCGAACTTAAAACACAGACCAACACAAAACAAGAACATTAATGGCAAATTAGTAATACTTTAATGGCAAATTAGTAATACACTAATATTCATCTCATCTTATATTTTTAATTAATGACTAATGTTTGCCTAAAAAATCCTTTATTTGACATTTTTTTATGTCAAAATAGTAATACACTAATACCTATATTTAATTAATAAAGTACAATTATTAATACTTAAAATAGTTGAATAATTATTTTGCAACCTAAACTTCTAATGTACTCAATTTCTTTGTTTAAAATAAGATTAGAATAATTTTATGAAATTATATAATACTAAAATCCAATCCATTTGTTTTCATGTCGTATGGGACACTACTTGAGCGACATTATATAATTTTGATCATACAATTATATCTACAACTTAATTAAGATATACAGAGAATCATGATATGCATATATACGCTAAATAATTTAATTTGTATCAATAAATTATATCATATATCACCATTACTCATACATTGTTAATAAATATAAGTAAAAAATTAAATCGATCTCATAGCGCTCATAAAGTGTAGAAACTTTTTTTTTTTTCCCAAAAAATTACAGTTAAAGGCTTAGGTGTTGAACTTTTCAAATTCATTATACCCGATTGTTGGCCAACTTGGGGGAGATGGATATGGATATCTAGCTTTGTATTGTGAAAACTAACTTGTTAGAGGAGGCAGTCGTGCATTACCAATGGTTAACTTTCTGAAAATGTTATTAAACCAATTCTCTTTTTTGTACCTCGAAGTGACAAATTTGATTTGTTTTACTCCATGTTTTAAATATCGGTAATACCGGATACCGGTGGTCCGACCGGTACATTTACACTCAAAATACCGTTTTGGCCAAAATACCGGTTTCGTACCGGAAAATACCGGTTTTACCGGCAAATACCGGTCAAAACACCGGTTTATGCCATTTTTTTTTAAAAAAAATATTTTTAATAAATTTTTATTATTTTATTTATATAAATTGTAATTTCTACACTTAACTTTAATATGTTTATATTGTTATTAAATGTTAATTTATTTTAGTATTAATTAAAATTAGTTTTGTATATTATTTATATAATAATAACAAATTAATTTAATATTTATTAAAACTGGTAAAATATACGGTAATACCGGTCGTACCGGTAATACCACATACCGGTCGCTACACCGGTATGACGACCGGTACGGTTTTCAAAACATTGGTTTTACTGCATTCAAATCTCGACCCATCTAAAACTTGAATAGCAGCCAGGGCTTGATTTACAGGTGAAAGCTTTTCTTAGGGGAGATTCTCTTCCATTCTCAGCCGAACCGTTGGAGGGTATAGCATCCTTGGTGAATGTGTACACTCAATGTAATAATATGAGAAGGATCTTGAGAATTATGTCAAGTTAACAACATAATATATGTAATGGGCTGCAACAACTGCACAAAAAAGCTGTGTAATGAGGCCTTTGTGGTGAAAGATTATTTTGTTAACAAGTAGTGTTGAAAAGAATACAGCTTTTTACAAAGAAAACTTTAATGTAGTCATTTTGTCGAGCTTTAGAGAGCTCGTGTTTGTTGTGGTGAAAATTGAAGACTTCATATGTGTACTTAGCTGAAGAATTGTTATGTTGAAAAGAATACAACTTTTTATAAAACCTTTTTGTAATTTCGTCAAGCGCTCATGTTTTGTGATGAAAATTGAAGACTGTATATGCGTACTCAGCTGAAGATTTCAAACTTTGTTGAAATTTTAACACAAACTTCACTTGTATCAAATTTAGTAACAATGTTTAAAAAATATATATAAATTCGACTGATCATTTTAAAAGAC